GGGTGTCTGTACCTGTGAGGGGGTGTCTGATTGCATGTGTGGGCGTGTGTGTGTGCGTGTGTGTGTGTTTGCATGCCATTAAAGCAGAGCTTCGAAATGTTGACCAATGCGATAATTAGGCGAGGCCAAGAGCAAACCTCAGACTGAGGCCAAGTCCGGGTCCGGCCAAGGCCAGCTTCAATTTGCAAAGAACACACACACACACACACAACAGCATGCGGGGGTGTGTGTGATTATGAATTATATTATAAATCCTTATACACATGGCCTTATCGGTACGCCGTTGTGGGCCCATGGCACACAGTGGCACACAACTTAAATGCCATTTGGCGTCTCTAATTATGTTGTCCTGCTCCACCTCCACCTCCACCTCCACCTCATGCTCGTGGTCGTCCCCATTCTCCTACTTGTCCTTGCCCGGCGTCAACGTTCTGCGTATTTGTTCTTCCTGGCAGTTATTGCTGTTGTCTGTTGTCTGTTGCCTGTTTGCGCCCATGTTTGCACTTGGCCATAACCCCAGGCCCAGACAGAGGGAAGCCGGAAAGAAGTGCCGCGCCCGCGCACCCCCCTAATGGGGGTGGCAGAAGCACAGCACACAGCAATTACATGCGTTTGTATTATTCAAATCCGCCGTAAATGTAATTAAGCTCATGGGAATTAAGCGTAAATTTATTTGCAGCCGGCTCCAGCACCCACTCCCGCCAGCAGTTCCGCAATCCTTTTCCCTCCTTTTGCGCCTTGGCGGTTTCTGCTAACCCTGCTTATCGGGTCTCTAGGCTAATTTCTCCTACTAGAACGGGTTCGAGCAGTGAAGCTGGGGAGGGAGTGCGGAACGCATCGCATATAAATTGGCTCATTGCCCGGAGGTGGCTCTGCGCCACCCTGCGATTTATTTCTGATAAGCAATGGCATTTCCTCTCCTGGATAAAGCGCATTGAATTTCAGTTTCGTTCTGGAAAAGTTTCTGAAAAACTGCACAGAAACCATCCGCTATCCTGCCCTGCCGCCTGAAAACTGCCAGTCAGATAGGGAGAGAGTTTGGGCGCATTAAAAACCAATCAGGCGCGTTGTCACATAATCAACCCACAGCTCATCAGACCAGACCCCTGCCCTACGCTTTTCCCTGGCATACAGCAGCGGCACTTTCCTCACAGTCTTTTCCGCTAGGAACAGGTGGCGGGAGGGGGGGGGGGGGGGGGGGGGGGGGGGGGGAAGGTTCGTTCTCGTATCATGTCACATCCAGGGACAACTCTTTGCCAGCATAATAGTTTTGCTTATGAAAACAAATTCAATTTTGAAGCTGCTTATGGAAATGTTTATGCGAGACGTGAACGCCAACTGTTTGGGGGCCCAGAGCCGGGAAGGATATTCCAGAGAGCGTTGAGGAAAACTGCGATGGGGAAAATTAATGTCACATGACAGGACGGGGGCGCACGAGTCGCAAACACAGCACTGCTGTTGCTAGAGAGGGGCTTGGAGCCTGCACCAGTGCGAGTACGGACCAGGGCGTGGCCGTGCATGGCGCCCCAGATAAACGGTACAACAGCCCCGATGGGTGCGTTGTCATGACTCTTGGCATATTTTGCAGCTCGGTACAGTTTCGTTCTGCTGCTGCTGCTGCTGCTGCTGCTGTCGTTGCCGTCGCTGCTCCCCTTTGACGCAAACAAATTGAAAATCATTGAACAGAGATGGTGCATATGGGTGGATGGTGGGTGGGGAGGCGATGGGTGCAAAAGCTCGCCTAAGCAACTCTGCAACCGCTGAGGGATGCACTGCATTTTGTTGGCTTGTAAACAACCGAACATGGGGTGGAGGGAGGGCGGGCCACTGAAAGATATTGTCCCACACATTTAAGCAAATTGCAATTAAGGGGCACAGTGGAGGGTGAATTCAAGGGAATATACTGCTGCTTCCAGAGCCAGTTTGGTTTGTACTGCTCAGTGGACCAGCGAAAGGCAACAGTTGATGCGGATCGCTTTCCCGTTCCAGTTTCCATCTGCTACGCCACAATGTATGCAACAATTTGCAGCACAAATACTTTCAGAGCCTGCCCCCCCTCTCCTTGCTGCCAATAAACGTAAAATATGCACGAGTATTTGTATGTATGTGGAATGGGTTGGGGTTAGGGTTAGGCTACACCCACACACAGAGCTTTTATGGGTTTTTACAGGGAAATGGGTTCTTTGTTGGAGTTTTCTAAAAGTTATCCCGTTTTCAAATCAAGGCTCCCCCGTTGCTATAGATCCCATGTAGCTGTCTGGAATTCCACAAATTGTTGGCTCTCAAACCCCAACATATACTCTCGGATGCATATGTGTGGGCGCTTGCGTTTGCGTTGGCATACGCTTTCACAACTTTCTCTAATTGCAAACCAACAAAGTGCTTAATTGTGGCACACATGTCCTTTAAGTAAGCCGCATGGAAACATTTCTATATGCAAATGGCGGCCACACACACACTTAGCGCTCCATAAAACAGAACTAAACTCCGACTTCCGACTCGCACTCTCCCGTCCCGTGCCCGCTGCGGCAGCACATAATCTAAAATAATTTGTGCGCACTGAAAATTTACACCTGCTCGGACTTGCCGCCATTCTGGTATGGTGTCGACGACGCCTTGCGTGCGAAACATTTTCCAGCAATTGCATGCAACAATTCCCGAAATGCTTAAACATTTTAGGCACGCTTCCGACACCGTCGTCCAGCCCGGGGCGAGAATTTTTCTTTTCTTCTTGTGCCTTGTGCCGCCTCCTGCCCCTCCCGGGCAGATTGTGGCTGAAACTTGATTGGGCGCTGGAGCTGGAGCGGCGGACGGACCAGCTAAAAGGCGGAGGCGGAAGCTGGAGTTGTTGGCAGGTTCGCTTGGCTGGCGTCACGCATACGCGCCGTGTTGCAGCGGCAAATCAGCGAGGGCTGTGAATTTCAATTAATGCCAAAGCAGCAGGCAACGCCACCCACTTGAAATGAATGACTGTCTGGCCGTGGGTCTGGGTCCGTATGGGCAGCTTCAGGCCATGGCCACAATGTTGTTGGCCCTTGAACACTTATTACAGTTTATTCTGGCTGTTATTGACTCTCGGCCATCGCTCTGGGGGTGACACGGAGGATTAGCATGCATGTCAGAGCCAGAAGCAGAAAGGAGAACGGTCTAAGCAATATTTCATTCATTTGCTTGTCCGACCGCCGCCCGCCACCCTCCGACCAACCAACCGCTTGAACTTCATTGGGGATTATTTACTTGGGCAAAACTTTGCTGAATTGAAACGTGCCGATCCAACTTTTCGGGTGGCAAACGCTTTAAAATTCTCACCCAAATTCAAACGGATTAAGGGCGAGTGAAAAATTGCATCAATTTACGTTTGTTTGTGCTCTGTGCTCTCCCCTCCCCTCCGCCCTCCTGCGAAAAACAACAACTATGGAAAGCTGAAAACTAACAAGCAACATAAAAATGGTTGCCTGTCGATGTATTCGTCGCGCATGGGTGTGTGTGGGCGCGTGTGGGTGTGTGGATTTTTATGCAAATATTTTGTCAGGTAGCCCCAAAGTCCAAAAACAAACTAGCCGTGTCGGGGCTCGGATTCTCTGTTGCATAGCCAGAGGAGAGTCAGAGCCAGAGCCAGCGACAGCGAGCGTTGCAACTAAATCAAATCAAAACAAAAAAAAAACCCAGCTCTCTGGAATGGAGTCCTGGTGCAGCTCCGCTCTGCCATAACAAGACCATAACATGCAAATTCAGTTCCTGACGTGACTCTGTGGGACGCCTTTCCCAGCAGTCCCTCCCCGTCCAGCCTTCCCTGTGCGAGGCATTTACTTTGCGAGTGATTAAGTTAGAGAGTGTTTGGGTTAAACAACACTAGAGACTGGCAACAGCTCTTGCCACATGTGCGACACTTTTAAAGTTAATTAAATGTCTTCCAGGGCTGTGGCACCGCCTCTCTCTCTTCCCCCCGCCCTGCCTGTGCCGCCATATTTGCCGCGACATTTTGACAGTTTGTAGCCGTTTCCGCTTTAATTATAAGTGGGTTGTGTGTGGGAGATTTACCCGACTTTGGCTGCGGCTGTGGCTGTGGCTGTAGCTGTGGTTGCGCCTCTGCTGGGATGGGGCCCTGTCGATGGCTCTGCCAGAAGTCGACGTTGCGGAAATGTTTATTGTTATTTCTGCACAGTGGGGCGAAAATTGGATTGTAGATCAACCAGGCGACTCTCGTTCAGTGCCAGAGCTATGGGCTATTTTTGGCCATTTTCGGCCATTTCCGGTCTCCGCACACACACACACACACACACAGACCAATCCAATGCAGCTGCCATAAAGCAAAACACAAAATGGCAGCTCGAAGAAAAGCCCAGACCAATTTGGTGGCGTATCCTCGTATTCGCTACATTTTTTCCCTCCCAGCCTAAAAATTCAATTAACTTGCATGGCCAAACCACAGCCAAAAAGGAGGGGCGAAACCGCTTCGAAACCCCTCCCAAAAGCTCATCTGACCACGGCCAAAAATATCAGACCCACACCCATGCCGCCGAGGAGGCTGGGCATCTCTGTGTGTCCTGTCTGTGAGCTCTGGCTCGTGGTTTTCGAGGTTTGGTTGGGTTTGGCATTAGAAGAACGCTTCAGAACTGCGGACTGGGGCATGCAACAATAATAAACAAAACCAAAACCAAATCAAACGTACATCCATCCAATACTAACCTTTTACGTTAAGTCTTAAAGTTAATTCTGGCTTAAATTAAATCCGAATACGTTTCCTTTTCTGTTTCGTTTCATTTTGTTGATTTGCCTAACGTTTATTGTTGTTGCATGCAATCGGTTGCAAAACTTACAATACAAATCAATGAACAAAAATGCAGTTGCACCACAACAACAACAACAACATGCACCACCACAACAACAACAACAACACCACCACCACCACCAACAACAACAACAACAACCACATCATCACCACCAACACCATCAACTAGTTGCCCCAGCTCAATCGCACAATCTTTGTCAATTTAAAGAGCCACCGCTATTGGGACCAGGCGCCGCCTTCCCGCCATTCGGAGCCCCCGAATATCATCCCACCACTCCGGACAACTGGAAGGGCGCCTCCATCCATCCCACTGGACTCATGAAGGAGCCCACCGGCGTGGTGCCCGGACGCAATGCTCCCGTCGCCTTCACACCTCAGGGACAGGCTCAGGTGAGTTCTCGCCGCGGGTGGCAGGAGGAAGTATGTACACACTCACACACACACATTGGTGTCGAAGACAGCGTGCACCTCTGAAGTGGCACCTCCACGAATTGCATCACACGGATATTATTTGAATTTCCGGCAATCTCTGGGCGCACGCTGCCATCGAACGGAGTCGGATCAAAGCCGGATCCTCCCTGCCAGACACAATTTTAATTAACTTCCCGTTCTCTCCCGTTTCTTCCCTTTTTTCTTCTTTTTCTTCTTGGATGTCGCTGATGCAGGGCGCTGTCATGATGGTCTATGGCCTGGACCATGATACTTCGAACACGGATAAGCTCTTCAATTTGGTGTGCCTGTACGGCAACGTGGCCCGGGTAAGTCGCAATTTACCTTTACTACGAAATACATATATTACACACAAGCGATGCAGTTATCCAACCCAAAAATGAGTGAAACACAGTGACAATACTCAATTGAGCAGAGCCTTTGATGATTTTTAGAAACGAGCTAAGGTGAAAGCTCCTTTGACTTCAATTTTCTTTAAAAACCACACTTTAGGGAGAAACCCCCTTGCTTTATAACCTTTTTAGAATGTGAAGAAACGGAGAAAGAAATATCCCCAGTTTGCACTTAGCCGGAAAGCTGACAAAATGGGAAACACGCGTTTCATTGCCTTTGCGTTGGCCGTCAGCAGTCAGTCAGCACTTTGTGTCGAGGGCCTGGCCGAAAAAGAGCTCGGGCAAAAGGTGTTTGACTGGGGAGCGGACGGAACGGATGGAGCGGGTGGAGAACCGCAAGACACTTTTTGTGTCTGTGGGCCATTTGTAAATGCGCAAATAAAACGAAAGGCAATAAAAGGACGAGGCCAGGACACCGCCTGGAGAGGCAATGGCACTAGCAGGGTACTGCTTCTGGCCAGCCGGATCGGCAGGGACATTTAGATAAAGCGTTTTAGATTAATACCGCAGCCATATGTGTGTGGCATGCCTCGGGACAGCAATCAGTGCAGCGTCATCAGCTTTATCTGAAGGCGGTATGGGGACACTGGCTAAGTGCTAGGGATTGCTAGGGGTACTGGGGTCCTAAAGTCCGGGGGCTTTTCCTCCAACAATGCGAAAACGATGGGTAGTCGCTGTAAATCAAAACACGATGACGGCCAAAAAAGGAATCCATTTAAAAGCTTTGCCAAATGACAATTCAAAATGCTCTCATTGTGAGTCGAAAAGGAAGCCAAAAGGAATACTCGCTTGGGGAGCGTTTAGTGGATAAATGGAGCGCCTTTGCCATGTGCCATGTGCCTGGCCGAATCCATCCCCCTCCCCCCCACCTGCCACTGACATCAAAGTCAAATGCTAAAAACTTTCTTGGGTTTTACCACTGCCACTGCCACTGCTTTCACTTTATAGCTACTATGGCTTCCGCCCCTCCTTGTTTTTTTTGCCAGAAGAGGGGAGCTGGAGTGCGAGTGTGGGTGTGCGTCCTTTGACAATTGCGCTCACCAAGGACACACCGACGTGGGTTCTCTTCGTCGGTCCCCATGACATGTTTTGTTTTCTTTATGTCTGCGATAAAGCGAGTCAAGGCGACTGGGGACCACAGGAATAACTTTCACCGAACACTGAAGTGGCCGAGGGCAAAGCATTTTCGTAGCGTTTTTCATAGGGGTTTTTTAGTCAGAATTTCATATACATTCTAAATTCCATTCGAATCCAGAGAAAATCACCTTGAGAATGCACGATCGAAGTTCTTATCTGGCGGACCTCGGCATTAGATACATTATCCATGCAAATACTATGCCCACTCTCTAGACAGGGCTCTTCTCCGGCCATTAGTTGGGGGTGGGGGGGGCGATAATTCAGGACACGGCCATTTAGCTCGGTTTATTTCTGGGCTCTGGCACTGGCTCTGGCTCTGACACTTGCCCTGGACTGGGTGGGCGAGGGATTGGTGGAAATTTATTGCCAACTTCCTGTCCAAGACGGAAACTACTCATTAGCCATTAAAAATGATTATGCGCAAACATTATTCACTGGCCGGCTAAGCCGCAAACACATACATTTCTCTCCTGGTCTCTTTTCTCTGGCTTGTCTCTCGCCATTCCTGCCTTCCTTTCTCATCGCATCGATGCACCCACCCACCCACACAGAGTCGGTCCACCCACACGCCTCAGCAAAGGGGGGGAGGGCCGCTGTCTCATTATAAAATCTGTATAAGTGTGCGGCGTGTGTGTGTGGGTGGTCGCCCGCGTGTGTGTCGGTTTATGGGCCGACATGTTTGAATTGCGAATGAGGAATTGATGGCCACTCGATCAAAGTGAGTTTCCTTCTCCTCTCTTTTGTCCGACCCCCGATGGGTCGGTGTTAATGGGAATGCCATGGGAAAGTATTCGGGATGAGACCTTCTGTAAATTAACGATAAACCTAGACAGCGCCTAACCGAAGCCAGCATATCCTTACCCTTATATGAGCAGAGGAATTCATTTGGAATGGTGTTGGCCAAAATAAAACTTCCCTGCCATAGCGGATGTTGTCGATTTCAAGAAGCGACAGAGTCCTAACAGGGTTTGGCATAAACATTCTGCTGGAAAAATTTGATTAACCTCCCGAAAAACGTAGGCCGTAGATGGAATTTCAACCTGTCGAAGCTCGGCAAGAAAGCTGTCAAATGTGACAGACCAGACCCAAACCGAGACCCAGGCACGGCCATGGGCGGAGAAGGAGAGGCGACAAAATTGGATTGTGTTTGCATTTTGTGATTTATAATTTGATGGAGGCCTCTAGACGATGTGTATACGGGCGGGTGTATCGGTATTCCGCTGGTATTTGGAGCATATTCTGGAAGCCGTTGCCATTTGCAAGCTGGGTAATTATTTTTGGAGCTGGGCGATGAAGTCATCATCAAATTGATTTTCAGGTTAAATGGCATGACACAAATAGGTCGGTGCTGACAGGGCCAAAAGCTACGAAAGCAAAATCGAGGATGTCTTTAAAGGCGAACTCCCACACACACACACACACACACACACACACACACACACACACACACACACGGAACGCACCCAATTAAATGCGCATTAAAAAAACATTTGGATAGATTCTGGGGGAAACGGAAGTGGAAATGGGATTCGGGTAGGGACTGAGGCTGAGGCCGATGGCGGGGCCAGAGGTCAGAACCAGCCGCGATGGTTCCTCTGTTGCCGACCAGCGCGTGAGCAATTAAATCAAATGGCAGAGCAGACACCATGCCACATTGCACAACAAAGCGATGGGGTCGCTGGGGGAGCGGGTCGCATTTTAATTAAGGCAACGGGGGGGGTGGCAAAAGCAGCGCCAGGAGGGCCAGGAATGGGTGGCACCACGCAACAGCACAGCTCATTAGACACGCACCGAATGTTTGCCGCCGCTGACCAGCAATGGCCATCCAGGCATGAAGCGCTCTTTGATTTGCCCAGAGTCCTGCCAGTGGCCGTGGCCCTGGCTCTGGTCCTGATGTCCTGATGTCCTGCTGTTTGCCTATGTGTGTTTGGTGTGTGTCTGTGTTAGCCTTCTGTTTGCATGTTTGTAATTTCATTATCCCTTTGTTTTTCCGGGACGCGGACTGGGAATGGGGCGAGTCCAGAGGCTATCTGCCCGCTTTCTGCTTGACTGATTTATGGTCTATATTTAGTTTTATACATTGTTTTACTTTTATGATTCGTTTCGTTTCTCGCTTTTGTGTTTCGTGTTCGATAAGCCCCATTTGCGTTTTATTTACTTTGGGCCATCCCTCTCTTCAGGCCTAAACTCGATTCGAGCGTATTCGTTTCGATTGCGACCCACTGAGTTGTAGCAGGCCTCACACATGAAACCCCATTCGGGCATTTGTTTAGTTTTAAATATTAACCAGTCGATTGGACTATTGACAATTAAAAAGGGGCCATGCAAACACATGATGTGCTCTAGTTCTCAAGAATTAAACAATGCATGCAACTCTTAGCCAACAATAAAACATTTCAGTTGCACAACCAAAAGACGGCAGAGGGGGGCTCCACCATTTTCTCCTTCCTCTAACTAGTCTGTCGTAATTGTATCAGTTATAACAATGGAAAACAATTTTCCCCCGTCACTTGCAGGCGACGAGCGGCGCCAAAGTGGCCCAAGACCGAAGTCGAAAGCCTCCTCCAATCATTGCGGCCTGCAGTCATAATTAAATTCGTTTGACCCCAAAACTGCAATACAGCCAGTGGCCAGTCTCGAAGCTGCAATTGAAAAAATCTCGGGCCAAAATGCCAGGCTCACTTTTCAGTGCGTGCATGTGTCGAGGCGACGGCGACGGCAATGGTGACGGTGACTTTGACAAAACCAAAAAAAAACCATCGACATCAATGCGCCAAATGAAGGCATTTGAAAAGCCAAATTGCAGCAGCACTCGCCCAATTTGGACAGGGGCTGGCGGGCCTGGCCGTCCACCTGTTCACCTGTCTGTTGATGTTGCTGTTGCTGTTGTTGGGGATTGCGAAAACCCGTTTCAACATTCAGCATTGGCTCGTATCGTGGCCCCCCTCGGACCGCAGTTTTAATTCGGGCTTAGACTTGGACTCGGAGTCCGCTCTATGCTCTATTGAGTTCAATGGCTTGCAGCGGGGTCCAGCAAATTGATTTGCCAATGCAACCCAACCAAGCGAGTGAACGAACGGGGGAACCATCCAACCAACCATCCAAGTCGCCTCGCCGCCAGCATTTCCATTGATTTTTCACTTTCACCTGTGCCTCTGTGTGTGTGTTTTGTAATTACTGCTTTGGAAATTATGATGGTCAATTATCTTTACAGCTCTGCAGTTCGTTTGCAGCGAGGTGCCAAAGACTAGGGGTGAAAAGTAAATTGAATGAGCTAATGAGCGGATGGCCGATAAATTCAGGAGATCAGACTCGGGCTTCGATCCCCGCGATGCGATTTGAATAGAAAGTTTCAGTTTTCCGCTTCATCCAATTAAAATTAGTTGAACTTTTCTCGCCATATCAGCGTTATCCATTTCTGACAGACTCCAACGAGAGTGTGGACTGACATATCGAATATTTGTCAAGTAAAAATCACAGGCAATGAAAATATTTTCAGCTATTTCTGGCAATTGGGCACGTACGATAGAATTTGATGACCCAATAAGGGAGAGTCGGATATGACACAATGGGGTGGGGGTGGGGGGGGTTGGACTGGCATCCCGCCCCAAACATATATGTAAGAGGGAAAGACTCCTCACAATGAGCGGAGAATTAAGGGCACCATTCTGTCATGTAATTGCATTTGAAAGAAATTTTAAATTGAATTCAATGAAAGTGTATTGCTTGGAACGTTGCTTGGCTTAAACGAGGCAGGAACGGGGAGAGGGCAGCGACAAGAGTGGCAATTCAATCAGCCAGGGAGGAGCCATGGCCAAAGGTCAACTGTGGCACGGACGGAGAACACATGGGGGGGTGGGGTTCACACACGTTTACCCACTATAATTGAATTTATTTGCATTGAGGTGACATCGCTTGCAGGGAGAAACTCGTTCCATATTGACGGAAATTTAACCTCACACACTCGCATTTCTCCACCTTGCAGATCAAGTTCTTAAAGACCAAAGAGGGCACCGCCATGGTCCAGATGGGCGATTCAGTGGCCGTTGAGCGTTGCGTACAGCACTTGAATAACATTCCCGTTGGCACTGGCGGCAAAATACAGATTGCTTTCTCCAAGCAAAACTTCCTATCCGAGGTGATCAACCCATTCTTGCTGCCGGATCACACACCCAGTTTCAAAGAGTATACTGGCTCCAAAAACAATCGTTTCCTATCGCCGGCCCAGGCCAGCAAGAATCGCATTCAACCACCGAGCAAGGTAAGACCCGCAATATACCTCGATATGTGCCCGTATCGCAAACTCATTGATTCCCCCTGAATTCTCCACAGATCTTGCACTTCTTCAACACACCACCCGGTCTGACCGAGGACCAGTTGATTGGAATCTTCAACATCAAGGATGTGCCCGCCACATCGGTGCGCCTGTTCCCCTTGAAGACCGAGCGCTCGTCGTCGGGACTGATCGAGTTCCCCAACATCTCGCAGGCGGTCCTGGCCATCATGAAGTGCAACCATCTGCCTATTGAGGGTAAAGGTGAGATAGTGTTGTGTTTAAGTGTTTTTTCAAAAAGAAGAAAAAGTCAAATTTATATGGCCACCCCAGAATCCAAAAGTTACACGAAATTCTCTCATCAAAACCTCCAAAAACACGCCCCAATAAGTAGGCAACATGAATTTTTGTTTTATTTTGTACTCCTCTTTTAGTCCTTCACCTCCTGCCCCTTGCCGTTGCTCGCTGCTCGACAGTCAAAAGTTTTGCCAGCTATTTCGCATGGCCTTTTGACTTTCAACTGTTGTGCAGCAGCCACCCCTCCACACCATCCCACCTCCACCTCCACCCCAAGCCCCTGCTCTTGCTCCAGCCCCAGCCCCAGCCCCATTCCACGCAATGCAAACTTTAACCTTTCATGTTTCTTTGGCTGATTTCTGGCCAGCAAACTTTCCAGTTTCGTTGCCCGCGATGAAAATTTTAATTTTAATTTGGTCATTAAGATAAACAATTCCAGTTGGCAGTTATTCATAAATGGGTCGCTCGCTGGAGGCGTTTCTCCAACAATTAGTCCCGAGACCCGGGACCTGGGACCCGGGACTCGGTTTCAAACGGGTTGACGACCAATAAAAGTTTTCACATAAAAATTTCACCAGCACCAGTTCCCGCATACTGGGGCTGGGGCTGCAGATTTGCCCCCGCCACTCTATCGTTTGTTATTAGCCTTGTATACATGGCCAATATAAATGTGGCAACATCATTTGTCCGCAATGAAAATCAACTATGCCAAAGTCTTGCCCCGCCGGCCTTCTTCTGCCACTATCGGATGTCTCTTCAAGCCCAGCCACCAGAAAATTGGTTCAGTCGAGTATGGGCTTGGCATTGGCATACATTTTCCAGTATTATCATTGTTTACACCTTGTGGGGAAAGCGCTTAGGAACATCTTGGTAGAGTGGCATTCCCTTTCGCATAATTTTGTCGATATCCTTGTTTGGTTATTTGCTGTTGACGCTGCTGCTGCTGCTGCTCCGAGTGCCGCTCGAGTGCATCGCAAACAGTAATTAAAAGTGTAAAGAATGCAAATACTCGTGCACGTATGCACACCCATGCCTCACACCACACGCCGCACGCAATCGTACCGAAGCAAATGGGGAAATGCAAATGCAAATGGAAACGAGAGTGGAAATGCCGAGTGCAAACAAGGGACATTGCCTACTTTCAGGCAGCAGAATTATGCTGAAGGCAAATATATTGCTCTCCCACTCTGAATCGGCTCGTGTGCGTATTTGTGGGGGTATTTGTGTGTGCATTGTGTAACAGTTTTCACATATGAGTGATTTCGATTCCATTGATATGCGGCATATATACTAATATTAGGCAGAGCTCCCACATATTGTATATTTGTGGGATCATAACTGCGGGCTGTGTACCCAACGACTTCAGGCCTTGATTGCATGGCATCGGTCAGGGCAGGGCTGAGAAGGCAGTTGGGGGTTAATTAATATATATATCAGCCTATAATCCCATTTCATTCAACCCCCCCCCCCCCCCCCCCCCCCCCCCCCCCCCCCCCATCATCCATCCGTCCATCCATCCATTCGTGAAACACACAATCGAAGACTCCTCCAGCAAAATCAATGAAAAACTAAATTCAAGAATATACAACACTTATACACATTACTACACCAAATCTAAATATATATGTGCTATAATCAATGTTTTTGTGAAGGAACCACATCGCTTTATACCTCTTTTATCCGTGCTCTCCCCCTCTCCACATAGGCACCAAATTCCCATTCATCATGAAGCTGTGCTTCTCCTCCTCGAAAAGCATGAACGGAGCCTGGAACAATGCCACCAACGAGGGCATGATCGAGAAGGAGAATGAGGTCGACTCCAAGGTGGACATCTACAATTGAGATTTGATAACGATTGTGTAAGCGAGGCCAACAACAACAGGCCCATCAAGAACACACTACACAATAACCAATAACCAAGCAGAGGGCATAAGACAACCAAAACTACAAAAACTACAAAAATTATACACGCGACAACACGCCAGTGCCAGCAGTAAAGGGGAAAATGCTGTAGCATCCAAATGATTGATAAACTGAACACAGAACAAGAAAAATCCAACCAGAATACCACGGCGGCGCAAACGCATGTACTTTTTTACGAGCCACTTACATAGAACAACTGAACTCATCTTCAATGATTCAGACACCCTTTATCTGTCGTCCTATGTATGGTACGGACTCGTTAAAAAGCCAACACACTATGCACACTATATAGAATATTACAGGACATTACATGCGTTTGCGTGGCGACTGGAAACACACATGAAAATGCTAATGGGGCTACAAAAAATGGAAGACGACGACTTTCTCACACAACAAAACGCAAGCCAGAAAGCACACTAACCATTTTTTGTACTGCTTCCTGTTTTTCACACTTGAATCCATTTTATCCAATTGTATAATATGTAACGTTTAATTGGTAAAAAACAAATTAAAAAACGAAACGACATAAACCGGAATAAACCAAAAATAATAAAATGAATGTTAAAATAAGGAGATCCCCTGCCCGCGATCCCATGATCCGATCCCTCTCACAAACCTCCTATCCCACAGGCAGATATCTGTTTAGTTAATATCAAGATTTTGAAACGGAACCAGAAACGGATACGGATACGGTTAAATATGCAACAAATAAGAAACATTTCCTTGGACAATATTTCGACAAGTATTCGGGCGTGAGAAAAAGTCTTAACAAAACTATTTATTGAGAGCGAAATAAATGTGTAAATTTAAACCAAAAATTTAGCATATTTAAATGAAATTTATTAATTTTAGTTATGAGAAAGGCAAACACTGCGCACTGCTGCTGCAGCACTTGCAGTTCATTTTAAATTTCTTACTTTAGCAAAAAGAATTAAAAAAGAATGGAAGAGAAAAGGAAAGGAAAGGAAAGAAAACAAAGTAAAACCACAGAGAGGGAAGAGGAAAAACTTGCACAAGCCAATGTTTTTACTATTAACAAAACAAGAAAAGACAAGACGATAAACATAATTTTTGTGCTTAGTTTACAAAGTTGAAAAAGGCATAAATTTATGTGTATGAGCTGTATTTGTATTTACATTAAAATTAATATTAATTTTACACTAAATGTAAAAATAACTAAAAACAAAAACCAACAAACAAACAAAACAAAAACAAAAATATTAAACCTACCAGAAATTAAGTTAAGTGCAAGTGGGGAGACAGACATGCCAACCGCAGACATAAAACAAAAATGAACATATTTTTGAGGCGTTTTAAAGTTAGAGAAGAAAGAGTCAAACATTTCAGAACTCCAAGTAAAGTTAGCAAAAGCAGTGCGACGACGACGACGCGCAGAGGAGGATTAGGGCGTATTGCAAATGCGGATAATGGTAATGAAAATAACAGTAAAGAAAATGAATGAAAAGAAAAGAAAAGAATTAATTAACGATATCAGCAATAAAGCAAAAGCAACAACACCATATCAAAGGCGTATGTTAAATTATCTATAATGACATTTAACTAAACATAAACCAGAAATTCTAAGTATAGTAGTGTTATGTATATCTAATCGGTTCACCTACGTTTATCATTTTATCATTTCGAACCCGAACAGGCGGCAGTGCGAGACCCGGTTAGTCTCAGCTGGCAGCGCCTGTCTGTACATTATACAGGGCGTTGTTCCATACATCCTAAATTCAAATCAACGAATACGAATACTTACACTATGCCACGGCCGCGAATCGAATTTCTTCAACACCCCCTTCCCGCACACTTCGCCACCCACATTCACCATTCACCATTTATCATTTAGCATTCACCATTCACCGCTTGACGGAATCATTTGCTTCCATACAGATCGTGTTTCATCCATCATTAAACAACAATACAATCAAACTATGTGCAATTTGGGCTTTAAACGAGACTTTATTTCCTTCTATTTATTTATTGCAACTCCCTCTCATTTCGAAATCTAGTTCGTGTAATTATTTCAAGTGTCTTTACAGTCTTAGTTATTATGTAAATTGTTTTTTAATCATTAATTGTACAATATTTTTGTAAAGATTAAGTATTATTGTACTTAATTTAAATTACGAACATGATTTATTGACAAGCTTAAATTAGCCGCAACAAAAAAGAGAAAAAAGAAACAATAAAAAGAGAGAAAAAATTGCAAAACAAAAAGAAAATCTCGTTAATAATTAATTGATAAATATTAATTTTTAAGAACATAAAGCAACAACGATCTTGAAGCTCCTAATTAGGTAATAATCCAATCAATAAAAAATAAATTAATAATAAATATATAAAATATGAAATATAACAAACTATAAATAACCAACTTGGTAGCTATTTAATTTATAAACACACATCTGATAATATTGACTTTTAATTGTTAATAGTTTTATTCGGCTTCTCCCGCGAGGGAGTGTCTGTGCGTTTTATTTTTATTGCGTATTTGATTGCTTTTAATATCGTACATTTAGTTTTTTTATGAGTTGAAATAGCAAAACAAAATAAAAGATATATATTTAGCTGCTGTTTGAGAATGAAACGGCAACTATAGTTAAATATATATGTGTATATTGCATATATGTCCGTATATGATATATGTACTATATATGATTTGTTTTATTTAATATTTAAATTTTGTTGTTATATTTTAACGCGTACCCTTTAAGCCCAGAGTTTGTAACATGCGCGCTCATTTTTTGATATAAATATATATGTAAAAGAATCTGGCAGTTGCATTTTTATTTTGATAACCACCACCGCTACAGAAGCAGCATTATCGAGTTTTCCCAAACTTTCCATACTAGGAATTTAAACGTGACAAATAATTTGCTTAAAAACTGTAAAACACTCGCAATGCATCAAAGGCAATTAAAGAAGAAAGTTAGAGTCATCGCATACCAAGACGCACATCCCTCACGCCCTTTTCCCTTCATTCACGAGCATTACGATCAGCGACTAAAGAAATATACCTATACCTAAACCGAAACCAAAAGATATGCCAAATAACTTAACGAGTAATCCTGAATTTTTAACATATCGAAATTTTGAAGAAGTATTCAGAGAGAACGGCCCAAGTGGCAATTTTACACTTTAGGCATTATAAATGTTAAAAGGATAATCCAAGGTACCCAAACATTTTCCAATAATCAGCAAAATGGCAAACGAACATAATCCTTGCAACAATCCTTTATGAAAACGCCTACCACAATTGTAAATACGAGTAAGCATATAGAGCAAACAAATTAAACAAATAATCGAAGGAATACCATGATGGGCCTAAGCCATACGTTGTAATTAGCGACTACTTCAAAGTATTATTTTAAAACAAAATTTAAGAGAAATGAAAACTAGGACAATTATTTTTAGTTCATTTGAGCATTTTCCCAAATTGAAATTTAGCAGGAAAGTTATTTTCTAGTAGCAATTATTTAAGCTTGAGTTGAACGCATTCAAAATCAAATCAAAGAAAATTAGTCAAATTTCGTTACGTAGCCACTTCTGGTAAATTGAAATTGTAAATCACTTTAAGGCTGTTAGCGGCCAGAACTTGTTACGAGAAGAAAGGCCGCATAGTCCGCTGGCTTTCGCTATTTGCATGCTACTGTATGTTGAGTACCAATTATTTTTCTTTGTTTTGTTTCGTTATCCGTTCCATTGCTTTGGTTTTCTGCGTTTGCAATTGCCTTGTAGTTTTCAACTCCAGGAAATGCGCATTTCTTCCGATTTGTTCACACTTGTGTACCCAATCCATGATTTGTTCGTCTGGGATGGCATTGCCCTCGATTGACGATGGCCGATTGGCAGAGTCTATCCCAGAATTTGATGGTAGTCTCATGCGCTTCGCCTGAACACACCAGCAACACAAAATGGACCAGTTTATTCAGTATCCAGTATTGAATTGACAACCACCAAGAATCAAAAACAAAATTATGAAAATTTGTGAAACCGTCCAATAAACACAAGAACAGCAATACGACACCACACACACACACGAGTTGAAAACTGGCTACAAGAATACTTTATAGGGGAGGGAAGGAGGAAACAGAAGAACAGTTCCTTTTGTTTCCGATGTGTCTTTCAGTGAGCTTTATACTGCAACTTTTCGGAGCACTCGGATTCCGCTTTTCCACCTATTTTCCTTCCATGCTGCTTACACGAGTTACAACTACAAGCCTACCACCTAACAAGCCTAACAATTACAGGATATACTCAATTTGCTAAACATTTTCTACGGTCAAGAGATATTTTTTAGTTGCTACGAACCTTTTCTAAGATTTGAGTTATATATTTCCCCAAAAAGCTAAAGAAAAAAACACTAAACAAAACCAAGAACTTTGTACACCGAAACGAATTCATAATTATCTACAGTGCATGTGCATATTGAGATCGAACATGAATTAAAAATGGAAAAAGAATAAAACTATAAAAACGAATTCAAGATCAACTATATTCTTATAGGCTTATAGTTTATACTTACGTACACACTTACAAATACTTATATACATAAATATTTATATATATATATCAGAGGGCATAACGAGGTGATAAGACACCACTCATACACATATACATCATATATACATATAGTTTTAATAGGAGGAATAAAACGAAGCAGCGTGAGTCAATTTTAAATGCAAGCGAACCCCAAAAACCAACAAAGAGGTACTTTACCAGAACCCGAGACTATGAGTATTACGAGTATTGTGGTCACTTTTACTCGTATGAGGGCAGGGGAGTGCGATGGCAGGCATAGCCAAAAACATAAACATAATTACACCACGAATTACACACACACACACACTAAACAACAGACACAGAAACAGACACAGACAAAGTTACAGACATAGACACAGACAGATACAAATACAGATACAGACAGACGAAAGACGAAGTCAAGTTTTAAAGGCAAACGGACAACTGCATAGTGTAGTCGTACGCGTAATTACTGGTGATAATTTTGAAAAAATCTAAACAAATCAATGCTCGGATGAGCAATAATACACGCAAATTCTAGCACGTTTGAATTTCCAATAGATGTCTATTATGTACTAGAAGCGTATAAATATAAACATACATATATATATATATTGAAGATTCCTTATTAAACAAACAAACATACATAAATGTCTTAGTGTGCAGTCTGTACAAATTTAAGCCACAGCGCAGCATTAACGAAAATGCAAGAAACGAAATTACGAGTAAATGAAATAATTTTACCAGTGTTCGAGTATTAGTGAATTAGGCATTGTATCTAGCAAACATTATTTAGTTTCCTGACATGCAGCATAAATAATCCACCCACCCAATGGCCCCAACACCAGCACAGGCCCAGGAGACACTGGGACCTGGGATCACAGGGCTCTAAATAATTTATTAGCATTTTTAAGCCCCCCTCTACGGAACGATTCCTACATTTAGGCTCCAATTAGTTGGTGTATTGTGTTTCTCTGTTGCTGCAATCACAATTGTCGTTGCT